GAGTTGAAGTCCACAAGTCTTAAAGTTGCCAAGGTTGGAGACCCCTGGAGTACCATATCTGGATTGCAAAATCAGGACAGCTACTACAGGTTTTCAGTATCACTTTGCTGCCAACTAGATGTCATCTAAATTAGCCTGGATATAGAGTAGTAGGCTCAGGGAAGGTTATATTTGTTAACCCAAAATATCCAGCAACAAAAAAATTGGGGAATTGTTTCTCTCATAGAAGTAACATAGAACTAACTTTGTATAATACCACAAGGAAAAAATCATAACAGTTCATAAGGTGGGTGTTCTCTGTTCTTGCTTGTTTCCTCAATTAGTGGTTCAGTTAATGTTACTTTTATATAGGTAATGTTTAAGTGTTCTGTTTGTTCCTCATTCTTTCATATAGTGAAATTTTTTAAAAGAAAAAACATGACCAACTCTGCACGTTAATAGTGTCTGTAAATTTGCCTCCATTGCTTCTTACAGTTAATGACTATTGTTTGTTTTTCTCTTTATGGTCACAAAGTATATTTGGTGCTGTTCGAACGGGTGCTTATATGGTGTATATATTGATGGCCAAAGGACTGAAGCAATCAGTTTGCGACCAGAGTTTTTACAATGGACCAGTCAGCAAATTCTGGGCATATGCATTTGTGCTAAGTAAAGCACCAGAATTAGGTGAGTGGCTTTTTAAAATAAAAATAAAAACTTTATGGGACATAATGAAAACAAAAAACTGCAAAATAATTTACATGGTATTTTAAATGGTTTTAAAATATTGCTCTGCATCCTATGACTTTCATATCTGTAAGTTTCTTTCAAACTTACACATCACTTTCTCTCCTGAGTCAAATTGTAAAATGAATAGTATATCAAAAAACTTGAGGAAATTCTTAATCCATGCAGTTTTGATTTGAATTATAAAATTTCTGAATTCTGTTCTTTATTCCACTCTCCATCTCTACCTTTGCACTAGAAAGTAACATTTCCTCCATACAATAAATTCTGCACTAACCCAGAGAATGATTAACAAATTCATACTGTCTTAGTGCTGTGGAAAGAGCCAGGTGGAAGGGTCAATTCGTTAATTGGTTAAAATTTTATAGACTAGAAGAAACAAAAAAAAAACCCTCTGTTTTGATAATGTGACGTGCATTAAGATGCTTTGATATTATTCAACATGGTGTGGTTTAAAAAACTCTAAGCTCTTTTGAGCAGTCTTTTCTCTTAAATTCTTTTAGAGGCATAATCTGATTGAAAGCTTAATAAAAAATATCTGGTAATTGTGCTTCAGGATGAATTGTGATTATTGTAGATATGAAGATTATGACAAGTTAAATGAAAGCAATCCTTTATGAAGTTGGAAGATTCTGTGGGGATGAATATAACCATATGTCTGGAAGATACCAATACAGGATGGACAATTAAGCCCTGTTTCCAGAAAATCTGGTTGTGAATCACTTTGAGAACATATCCAAGCACTTCCCCAATCCTATAACTAAGTTCATTGCAAGCATAGTACAGGTAGTCCTTGGTTTATGTCTATTTGTTCAGTGACCATTCAAAATTGTGGCAGCACTGAAAAAAATGGATGTAAATTTGTAAAACATATCCTTGAAATTTCAGCCCTTGCATGTCCCAGAGGAGGTCTATTCCATTTCTCTAAGGGACAGGCAGAAGTAGACCCTGTGTTTTTAGAATATTCCTCATCCTGAAATCTGTATTGTTCCTTGTTCCTGTCTTTGGTAGAATAACAAAGTCCTGTCTGTTTAACAGAGCATAAGAATAAAGACTGGGATTGTTTTAATCCTTTTTCTGCAATTCATTTTCAGTCCCCACCCCCCCTATTATTATAGTTAAGTCACTCTTACATTTTGCTACATGAATATTATTGCTCACTTTTCAGTGCACATAATGCATATTTTCATTTATGACAAAGAGAATTCTATATAGTACTTTTTATTCATCTTAAAATGAAAACCGACATGATAGTGCTAGTTTCTTTCAGCTTTTGTTTCTTTGTCCTTAAATTTGTCTGTTACATGATTTTAATTCCAGCAGTCGGAAGTCACTGAAAACAGGATAGAAAAAAATAATTGGAATTAATATTTGAGAACACTTTTCTACATAGAAATATGAAAGATATCCAACAGGTCAAATGTTAGTTTATCATAAACTGTATGACATTTTGTTTATAAATTTATCCTTGCATATTCTACAACAGAACAGTGGTGAAAAGTGATATGTAAAATTTAAAAAATTGCTTTACAGCACATTCACTAGATATAAGTGTTCTTTTTTTTTCAAATACATATCAAAGAGCTGCTGGCCAGAATGGTTCATCACTCCTTACAGCAAACCCTTACATAATTCTGTTTATCAACCATTTATAGAAATATTTGATTATTTCTGTTTTGATCTGCCCAAAAATCTTTGTTTATATTTAGACTCATTAGAATGCTCCCAATCCCAAATTCCATATTTGCTATCGAACTTCTGTAGTAGTTGCACTTGATAGTGTTTAAGACTGGAATATTACTGGTGAAAATACAGCATCTAACTTGTCTTTTGCTATCATTCTTTATTTGAGTTTTGAAGCACTTTGCCTGCATATAAGTATAGCTTCTGTGTCTGAAAGGTAACTCTCAGATAAAATACAGTAATAAAAATACAATTTTAAAAGTTAAAAGAAACAATTGAATTAAGGAGGAAAGAAATCAGCATAGAAAATTTAAAAAAATAAGTAAGAGTTGCAGTTCACCTACTAGGAGAAGAAAAAAAAATCACACCTACTCAGTCCCTGGAAAGAAATCTATAGATTTTGCTACTTAGCTTACAGCTTTATTTTACTTGTTGCCACAAACCAAAGTACAATGAAACACTGAAAGCCATATCTAGGAGTTAAACAAACTTTTTGGTTTTTCTCTAAAAATGCTATGGTAGATCTTGAGCCAAAGTCAAAGCAGTTCTCTGGATCTTTTGAATATGTTGAACATGTATATATTTGCAATTTTGACAGCCTGAAAAACATGACATATTTTTAAATTTTTTTTTATTGAACTTAGATTGTAGAATTGAGTTTTGGGAGAAAACAGAGGTAGTGTATGTATTATTTATGATACATCAGCTATGATTTAAAAATTCCAGCATATACTCTCTTAAGCAGTATTGCACACTCGGGACTAAACCATTGCAATTCACTGAACTATATTTTTCATTATCACCACCTTTAAAATATCCTTTGCAATAAAATCAGGTCTGTGTTACAATTTACAATATGAAAAGCAGATTTGTGTAGATCTTAGCCATTTTTAATGTTTCTAGGGTGCACTGGCCACAATTCAGCTCGGAATATGAGGTGTTTAATCCAAAGAGAGGGTTGAATCAACTGCCCCTTAGATTAAAAGTTTCCTTATAATTCATATTAATACTGCCTTAATATACACTAATGTCTTGCAACTAAAATTATTTTCCCCTTACTGTTTTGGGTATTTTTTTCTATAAAAAATATTTTTCATTCTAAAGATCTGAAGAGAAGAAACAAGGTTAATCTGGGTTGAAGCACATAACCATGATCTCAGAAAGCATATTGTAATTTAGAACATAAGTATTTTCTTCATTGCTATATGTGTTCTTTTGATTATGCTGATATTACAGGCATAAATATTATCTATTCTAGAAGTATAACAGATTATCAAAGATATATTTATCTGATATTTAATAATTTATAGAGATTGTCTTAATTATTTCTTGTGCTTCTTTCCTTATTAAGAAATAACAATTGAATCTAAAATTAGGGCATGGCAGAGATTTTTTTTATGATGTCATTATACAAACATACAAATGGTCGCAATTAGAGATTCTAAAGCCAATTTTAAGATGATATTGCATTCAAAATATTTCTGTAGAAAATCCTTATTTCTGTGATTAAAGAACACATGGATGTTTAAACTTATATAATGTTTCGTAGTATTTCAAAGGGTTCTTTTAGTATCTTCTTTTTTTCTAAAACCATGTTGTACAATATACATATTTATTCTATTCTTTTTTTTTTTCTTCTCCCTGCAGGAGATACGATATTTATTATTCTTAGGAAACAGAAGCTCATCTTCCTCCATTGGTATCACCATATTACAGTACTACTTTATTCTTGGTACTCTTACAAGGACATGGTGGCCGGTGGTGGCTGGTTTATGACCATGAACTATGGAGTACATGCAGTCATGTACACATATTATGCCTTGAGGGCTGCGGGCTTTAGAGTATCACGCAAATTTGCCATGTTTATTACCTTGTCACAGATTACACAGATGTTTGTTGGCTGCATAATCAACTACCTGGTCTTCGCCTGGATGCAACAAGGCCAATGCCACTCACATGTTTACAACGTTGTTTGGTGTTCCCTCATGTACCTCAGCTACTTTGTGCTCTTTTGTCATTTCTTCTTTGAGGCATACATTGGCAAAGCAAGGAAAGCAAGGAAGGCTGAGTAACGCTAGGAATACTGCTAAGGCACCACTCAGCTCATCGACCAAACACAAAGCAAAACAAAATGGCACAACAAAAACCATTTATACATGGTGCAAGTAAAACTCAGCAGCTGTGGACAGATAGGTTTGTTCGAACCAATGAATTTATGATCATGTTATGGTAAGTACTCAAGGAATGATCTTACATCTTAGCAGGCTGCTGTAAGACACCTTCTTTCTTGCATCTCTTAAAAGAAGCAATCTTGCATTTAGAAAATAAAAGAGAAGAAGATCAGAATTTTGCAAAATAAAATATTAAAATATATGGTTTCCCCGATCATAGATAACATTTATTTTAAATGAAATTTATTATATTCTTTCTAACTTTTGTTTTCAAATATGTAAAACTTGAACAAAATTTAAGAAGAGGAAACAAATCGTCTGTATCCTATGAATATACAAAGCTGCCTTATACTGTCAGAGTATGCTTCTTTTGAGTTCCATCTTCTCTACTCTGACTGGCAGCAGTTCCACTAATCTTGAGAAATGCCCTACAAGTAAAGATCCTGGTGTGTTTTTTTATATATGTATATACACCCAAGAATCCAAGGATTAAACCTTGGACGTTTCTGCAGGCAAAGTATTTGCTCTCCAATTGAGTTAAGGATCCTTCCTATACAATGCCAGTATTTCTGTAAAGTGGGGAAAAGCTCCTTGAAAAGGTCTCACTCTAGGAAGCCAAATTATAAAAATTAAAGGTACCTATCAAAGCTCTTATCAGGGCAGCCATTTAAATTCCACTGAAGCACCACATGAAAAAATGGTAACTGTAGGTGCACAAGAGAGCATGGATGTCTGTGTTCATATATATTGTGTATTACGCTGTCAGAGGATCTGGTATGACAGTTAAATAAGATTTAAAATTAGAATAATCTGAAGATTGATTGCTTTCTTCAGAAATGCATTAGAAGGCATTGATTCAAGTGTATTTTGAGTCTAAAACACGGCCAAGAATAGTTGTAATATTGAGTCAATTTGCTGGAACTATTGATAATGGAGAGCAGGAGAAGGAGAGAGAAAAAGGGGATAGGGAAATGGCCCTACACAATAGGCCAATTTGCAGAGATCTTTTCAGCTACTGTGCTGTAATGCTGTCCTACTGTTTCAGATACAGAGGATATTGTTCACTCTTCATCTAGTTGGTATATGTCACCTGAATCACTTTATCCAAAGTTATTTCTAGAGTTGTTCAAAATAAGGGAATGCAAATGTTACAGTAAGGCTGGTTTTTGAAACAAAGTTTCCTGCTTCCAATGTCTTCTCTTTCTTCTGGTTGATTCCAGTGATGGCTCACAGCTCATGACCACAAGTCATTAAGAGAACTTGTAATTTCTTTATCATAGATCATAAACAGAGGTACAGTTTTAATTGGTGTGTGCAAATTGCTGCTCCTACCAAACAAGTCTAAGGCTCCAAAACTGAGGTGGAACCATCATAGGTAGGAGAAAATGGAACCTCTCCTAAGATGATAGAGCCCAAAAATACATCATTAAGTGCAATTGGAATGAAAGGTACAAAGACGAATAAAACTTAGCTTTGGAGATATATTAGTATTAGAGAGATCAGGAAACAAATACTGTGGTATGGTACATATTTTATATTTTTATGAACTTCAAAGAATAGATATCTGCAACTTTAAATAGTATTTTACAGACTGTATATGACTTTAGCTAACACTGTGCTTCTGTATTTGCTTCACAAGCAATGCAAAGATGTTTAAAGTGCCCTCTGGCGGTCACTTAGAGATACTACTCTAGAAGGCAGGCCATGCAATCATACTGCAAGCTTTGAAGAGGGCAAATCCTGAATGGAGTGGTTGTGCTGCAACAAATTAATGTATAGAAAAACTTCACGCTCACTTTAAAAAAAAATCCATAGGAAAACTATACTGTAGCATCCTTGATTGCTTAAAAAGACATCTGGTTCTTCAGTCAGCTGCAGATAAAAAGATGCCACTCTGAACCTCAGAGAAATAGCTGAAAAGAGCCATATTTTCTACAAAGAAAAAGTAGATTGTTTTATCTGTAAGATTTCAGACCTTACAAAGCCAAATAAAATATATAACATTCCTAATACTTCAAAGAAACAAGTATGTAAATTTAATGTTACAAGTGTATTAGCATAGTGTTTTCTCATTTCTATGTTTAACAATTAGAAGAACTAGAGAAACAATGGAAAGCTGCTGCTCTATGTATGGAATCAAACGTACATGTAACTACATATATAATCCTTACATGACTTGTCCCCCAAAAAATGAATGGGGCCAGGCAGAATCACCTTTTTTTAATGGAAAATGATGTCAACTTTCTTACTTTAACCTCAGACTACATAGTAATCTTACCTTGATTTAGCTTCAACTGTGCTGTCTGTTATTCAAGACTCAATGTAATAACCCTGTTAGACATAAAGGGCTTTCAATGTTTCATGATGTCCAGGAAAACTGCTACATATATGACTGTATGTGAACTGTATTTGGGGGGAGAGGGCTGTGGGATTGAGAAGAAGCTCTCTAAGGCTTAATCATAACTGTGAAAACCTAAAAAAAAGTTTGTAACTGTGTCATTTAAGTTATTGATGTTCCAACATTGTTATATACTACAAGAATAACAAAATATATTAAGTAGAACATAAAGATATAATAGTAAATTATAGGACTTATAGGGTACATGGGCATTACATTAAAATGTAGACAATGTTATTTGGGGTTAGGAGGGCAAGAATTATATTCCACAGAAAAGCCTTCCTTTGCTTTCTGCTCCCACAACAAATATTTGAAGCAAAACTAAAGTGTGGAAAAGTTGTGGGCAGTAGTAGTTGGTAATTGGTGCCCTTACCATGTGCATCTCAATTGTTTTCATTATAAGCTGATCTACTCATTCATGGAAAATTTACTTTTTTAAAAGTTGGTATTTCACAAGGGATGCTAAGAATTTTATTCTTTTTGCTCCCTGTAACCAAAGGAATGGACTATATCAGTGAAGATCATTGATTTAAAAGTTTTTTTTTCCTGATTTATTCTAGTGTTAATAATAGTGATAAGCAACCATTTAGATTCTTTCTTCATATGACTTGTGAGAATGCTTTGACAGGGCAGTTCTGAGATAGTTGTTCAAATGCACAATGTCACAGAACTCGAAACAGAGCATTCCAGCCTTATTCCTCTTCCATTAAAGCTGTAGTCGTTTACTTTTGAAAGGGGGAGTTCGTTTATTATTAGAAAGAAAAATGAGAAAAAATAATATTGCACTGTTACAACATTATTATTATGATTATGTTATGATGAAAATTGTTACAAAATGAAACAGAAGAACAGGCCTCTTTTATCCAGAATAGGCATATTCTGTCCAGAACTAAAAAAAATTATATCCCAACTCTCCCATTCAAATAACTGGCTCTGAAAATGCGTGAGGCAATAGCTAGCTGGTACCCTTTTTTTTTTTTTTTACAGTATTTATAAATGAACATTTTGCATATGTTTGCAAATATACTGCAATGCATAATAGCCTAACATTTTATCACCTTTGATATTCTTATAAGAATAAATTCAGCTAAGTTACTATTTAGTAACTGGGTTAAATTATTGCAAAATCTGCAAAATATTTTTCCTTATTGGAAAGCTAATTGGAAACCTTGATTCCTGAAGTTCCACAAACAGATTATAATGTTTGCTGAGTTATTTTGTAATCCACAGAATCTCTTGCTTTAACCATTTAGGTCACCAAAATATAGTGAATAAGTTAAATATACTTGCATGATCTATTCTTTAGACCTAAAGAAGCTACAGATTCTACAAATCACCCAAACGTGTGCCAACTAGCTCATCTGGAATACACCCAATCCAGTGCTGATGATCCCATTTTAGACCATAGATTATATTGAGGCAAGTTTTTCATTGTCATGGTAAACTTTTCTTGTTGGGCAAGTGAATTCATTCATTCAGTCTCAGGCTAAGCACTCGCCTTATACAGCCTAAATCTAGAAAGACCTGAGTCATGCTTAAGCATGCTAATGTCAGTAGATTTGTCTATCTTGGCTGAGCTGATATAGAAATAGGAGACACACAAATATAGAGATAGTAGTGCAGTTAAAAAGGAGACACCTAAAGGTGGATCAGTGACTGCATGAACATGAGTGCTCTGCATTGCCTTGAAGAATCTTCCATGCAGAAATATGTCTTAAGATTTTGTATTTCTGAAGAATGGAGGAGTGAATAGTTTGCAAGGCTAACCATGCACTCATATCGTGTTGATTCAAAACCAGGATCATCTTAGTTCAAGGGGGCGGGGCGGGGGGTTATTCCCCAATAAGTTGGGGTAGACCCAACCATGTCCACACTTTAGCATTTTGACTCATACATCAGTCATGCCAAAATTTGTCTCAATTATTTCTCATGGATGGTCAGTTTGCATACCCATATCCACTTACCCATCTTAGAAAGTAATTTTACTCCTTTTTTTTTTTTTTTAGTGAAAGCTTAGTTTATTTGCATCTACTCAGAAATAGAAGAAGTAGCTAAAAAATAAGTGATGAAATAGATTACTAAATGGTATGTAACACAGTGCATATGATGCCAGTATTTTGAAATAACATTAAGGTATGCATCTTAATGAAGCAAAAAAAAAAAAAATCCATATCAGTGGTGAGGGTTGGCTTGAGCCAAATAGAGAGGGAAAGCCACAATTAGCATTTTTCTTGCTCTGTGTTTACCAGCAATTGGAAATCTTGATCCTTTTTCTCTCTCTCCCTCATCATAAACTGTCCAGGAACTTTTCTTCGTGCTTAGGGCCAGCATCTTTCAGAGAATTGTGAATATAACCATCTATGAGAAAAGCATGGACCTGACCCTAAAAATTTCCCATAATAAATTGAATTAATTAATTTAATAATTTTCTATAACACATGACACTTAAAATCCTGGAAGCATACCATGAAGGACATTTCATCTGATATTTAGATATTCACCAGGTGAAATTCCCAAATGTTATATTTGCTGGGAGTTTTGACATGTATAGATCCATCATAAGGATGCCAAAGGATACTTCAGAGAATGCTACGCCCCACCCCACCTTGCAGGGAAATACAATTGTAAGAAATTGTTATCATTCATAATTCCTTGACATTGAGGAACAAGGTATTTTTCTACCCTTTGTCTCCCTAATTCAAGATCTCATGATTAAATCCTACTGAAAGCATTCATTTGGAAATTTATTACTAATTTAATGCAATCTAATATCTTTCTGCTGTCATTTTACTCCCTGTGAAAAGATTTTGAAAAACATCCATTCCAGTTTTCAACATGATAGTTTTTATGAAAACGATTTCCCTTCTGAAGAAAAAAAAATAACAACATGTGTCAGTTTGGTTAAAATGGCCCTGAAATAATCATTGCTAGTTTTGAGTAAGCCTGTAAAAAGAGTGTGTTAGTAAAAAATGAAAAATGAATCTATACTCTGAATTTTTACTATCCACCTTTTAAATAGTTTCTTGCACAATGAGTATAGGGACTCTGTTTTCTATTTTTATATATGTAGATAGGTCATGATTGAGGAGAATATCATTAAATGCTGGTGAGGATCATAGTTCTAACTAGTACCCCTCGGAAAGAAAAGATATAGTAGGCAGGGATGGGGTCTATTTTTTCATAGAGCCATAAGTCATCCATAAGCAAGCAGGAGTCACTAATGCAGAGGTGTCAAACTCGCGGGCCAGATGCGTCACATGCTGGCCCTGCCCAATTTAGCGAAGGGGGGGGGAAGTACCAATAACGTCATGTGACGACGCAAGCTTGACACCTCTGGTCTAATGCCTAGAACCTTTCCCCCTCCCCTAGCTGTGGGGGAAGGTTCTTCATATTGAAATTTCATAATTGAATTCATTATAGGGGCTGGGATAAGAATCACACTATGATTTGCTTAACCATAGGGTTTTGCTTTTTTAAAATAAACCACAATTGGCTGGGATCACATAACATGCAAAGCCACCATCCACAATGGCTATATAATGAGCCATAACCCAACAAAGGATATCGGGGCTCAGCATGTTGTGCAAACCAAGAATGGGTTTTATAAACTGCCAATTCCACTTTTTCAATGCTTTATTCTGCAGATGAACTGAAGTGAACTGCCTTGTGAAAAGTATAGTACTTTGTATTTTTACAGAAACTGCAACTGAGTTACATAATCTCAGTTATATCAGCGTGGTTAAAAGGGACAAGGATTCTCAGCAGTCCTTTCCATCCACTGCTGATATTACACCATAAACCCTCTTTCTTTTGAACCAAAGCAGCTAGAATTTTTTTCTTGGGCAATGGGAGATGCCATCATCTCTCCCCTGATGCTAATCCCTTCCATGGCTTCAGGGACCTTGCTCAAGAAAGCGGTGTGGTTTGATCATCTCATCTGCTTAATAGGATACCAGCAAAATGCATGCCAACACCCAAGCTTGGGTGAGCCCTCACATCATTTTCCAAGAAAATTGCTCATCTCTATGTGTTAACAGCAGTTTAAGTAACTTGCCAAGTATTTTGTTTCTTCTAGAGTCTCACTGTCTAGCCAAAATGAGACCATTTTACACCATATCATTCTTCTAGTGCCCTACTGGTTCCCAGCACGGGATTACAGGCTTCTCACCTGTCTTCATTCTCCAGAGCTATTTCGCTCTTCAGTGTCTTAAAGCTTGAATCAGATGTATGTTCAGATTAAAGTTGTCTGTAAAGTATAATGATTAGGAATAGCTTTATTTTGCCATTTACAAATATGGATGTTTCATTCCATAAAGGGAGAGTTTTTAATTTTAATTTTATTTTGGTATATCAATATTCTAAATAAAATGTGATTTTTTTGGTTTAAAATAATACATTTGTCTGTCTTATTATGGAGAGTATACCTTGTTTCGTCTTTAAAAATATATCAGTATATATCTAGTTGTAAAACATGTAAAATATTCTGAGAGAAAGAAAAATATATTGTCTCCTGATGAAACCATTTCTAATCAGCATCCCAAGAATCCTTATAAAACTGTATCCTGAGAATTACCATGGTTTAACACTAAGCCAATTAAATCAGCTGCTAATTGTAACTCTGCATTGCTAGCTTTGTATTCTATTTATTTATGGTGAAAGACACAAAAAATGTCCATGTAAACTCAATCTTCAAAAATCCATTTTGTGATCAAACTGTTCCTGGGCACAATTTTAACTATGGACCCTGTTTTCGTTTATCAGTATTATAAGCTATAATCTAGCACATTAAAAGTTGAAGGCTTCCACAGAAACACAGCGCCCCACTTCACTATCCTATTTATTTCCATTTTGCTTTTAGATGCAAAAAAACAAAACAAAACAAAGCCACACATGTTCAATGAAAGGCCATGCTAGCATTCCATTTCAATACTGAAAATAGGATCAATTTTATAATTACTTGAAATCTACAATTCCTACACTGCAAAAACATTTGGACTACACAACTCGACCAGGGTAAAGCAATAGACATAATTTACATAGACTTCTGCAATTTACATAGACTTCTGCATAGACTTGATTCAGTGGGACACGACAAACTACTGTTAAAACTACGCTTTTACAGCATTTGTGGATCACTGCACAAATAGATAGCTGCATTCCTGTCAAACAGGCAACAAGTAGTCAAAATAAGTAGCCCTATCAAACCCTGCAGTTAATAGCGGTGTCCCCCAAGGCTGTTCTAGGACCTACTCTCTTTCTAATTTACATAAATGACCTTTGCAATCATATTAAAAGCAACTGTGTCCTCTTCGCTGATAACTTAAAACTATTTAACACCACTGACAATACTGGTGCCCTACAAAGCAGAGGTGGTATCCAGCAGGTTCTGACCAGTTCTGGAGAACCGGTAGTGGAAATTTTGAGTGGTTCAGAGAACCGGCAAATACCACCTCTGACTGGCCCTGCCCCCATCTATTCTCTGCCTCCCGAGTCCCAGCTTTTGTTGCCCTGCACAGGAGAACAGAGCTGGAAAGCAGGTTAGTAGAGTGGGAAGGGAATGGGATTTCCTTTCCCTACCATGCCCACCAAGCCACACCCACCAAGCCACACCACGCCCACCAAGCCATGTCCACAAAACCGGTAGTAAAAAAATTTGAATCCACCACTGCTACAAAGCAACCTTGACTATGTGTCAGAATCGTCAAACATTTGGCAACTTCAAATCTCAACC